TAGCTTATGCAATATTCACAGAAATGTCATGATCACTGTTATAGTGATGATAGACTTTAAGTAACCATCAGAAAATTTATGACCAGAGATTTAATGTAATAAAAATGTGAACCTAATTCTTTTCTCCATGGTGTATAAATCAGCACCAGACCTAAATATAGAAAGGTATTCACTGAAAAAAACTCTTTCTACTGCATGCCTAACCAATCGTGAAAAGGCCTGCAATCCACGGCTATCCAACTATCTACCACAACAAGTTAGTGGCAGTGGGGGAAATTAGATATTCCTGAAGCCTGCACAGACTTTACCAAAATACCAGACAGCCAGTGAGTATGACAATGAGATAAGCACAAAGTAGTCCACATTAGTCGTGTGAGGATTGGAAAATGAGTGTTGTGTTGTAGAGGTATCATGAATAATGAGAGAGTGTCACTGGCAGACAGGGACAAAGAGCATACAGAGCAGATCAAACACACCAACCTGTTTGCCCACCTCTCAGTGACAGTTATTTCTTTGCAGTTGGTCCTGTGGTTCAACAGCTTAACTGTGCCTTAATACTTTAGCAAGCCACAACCTCTTGTTTGTCAATTTCTCAATCACCTGCATTAAAAGTGAGAGAGAGGCACTGTGCAAAAATATCACACCGAAGCACCAACTACTAAATTCACCTGAACAGGTTATCAGACCACTATTTGACAAGTGTTTTTAAAAGACAGCAGAACAACAATACAGGCTACTGACAGCTGTCACTCTTATAGCTTATAGCATCCACCACAGCACTATGACAAGGAGGTGGGTGCACACAAATGGGCAGGGCAGTCTGAGCTGAAATATAAACAGCAATACCACAATGAAGTGGAGAGCCTGGTGTGTGTAACACTATCCGGGACTGTGTTGAATGGAAAAGCAAGGACGTCAGAGTATCCTGGAGTTAGATACCCTGTGTGTGTGTGTGTGTGTGTGTGGGTGCAGAGCAGGACCGGGCTGTCTGGCTGGGTGACAGTGCTACGTACAACACAGGGATTGGTCTGTTTAGCTAGCTAACCTAGCACTAACCTGACTAGCTAACGACAGCTACTTAATTAGCTTGTGTACCTGCCGCCGTTGGCAGTGATGATGTTGTTGTGGAGGCAGGATGTTAGCATTTCGTAATAAACATTAACGGTGTGAGTGGTGCCAAAACACATTTCGCTAACGCTACCTGTGAACGTCAAAACGGACAGCTGAAAAGACGATGGAGGCCATTTAGATGCTAACGCTATCGTTAGCTAACTGGGTAGCTCTCCCCTGTCTCTCCAACAAGCCAGACACGACCCGAAATGTGTCAGTGAAGCGCCGCATAAAACAACGGGGCTCCGCAAACCAGCATTCAAAACAAACCCACTTACCGAGCGCCACCTGACAGGCTTTGCGCAGCTGGCTGTGCTGGCTCCTCTTCACCTCCTTATCCGAGAGGATTTTCTCCAGCGCCCTGGACAGAAACATGCTCTTGGTTTTACTGTTTTCTGCCTTCGACTGCGAGTAGTGCTGCTGCTGCTGCTGCTGCTGCTGCTGCGGTGGCCGCTGTTGTTGTTGTTGCTGCATCTCTCAGTCTTGTTACCGCTCCTCTCTCAGGCCGTCATCTTCGGCCTGGCCCTGCGAACGAGCAGGTGACAAGGAAAAGCTAACGAAAGCCAGGCTATCGGTGTCAGTCCAGTGGAGTTGCTATCTCAGCTCAGCGCCGCCATGCTGGTTACACGTCATGTCACGTGATTCTCAGCTGTCTGGGTTTTGACCACGGCACTCTTGAGGAGCAGGTAACCTCCGGAATGGGGTTAAACAGACACCAGAGTTAAATCACGGTAACCGGTTCATCGTGTAGCTTCCGACGTTGTAAAAACTTGTCCGGTTAAATGTCCCAGAGAGGAGCTTTGACCGTTTCAACCGTGACAACGTTACACGAGTTGAGCAACAGTTCGTCGTTTCACCGCTACAGCAAAACAAGCGCTCCTACAAAAAAAAACAAAAAAAAACAGGAACGCTGTTTCTGAAATGTCCTGCAGGTGGCGCCAAAACATCACCATGAATGAACCAGGGTCCCCAATCTAATAAGATTTTAACTAATAATAATAATAATAATAATAATAGTAGATTTTATTTATAAAAACCTTTCAAGACAGCCACGACACACAAAGTGAATGAAACCTTCAGAAACGGTTGTTTTATTACAGAAAGTGTTTGAAACCCATGACTGAAATAGTCATTCATTCTGTCATTGTGTTATTTATGGAAGATATTATAGTGAAAATAAATGATCTCCCTTTTTGCTGGGAACCCCCTCTACAGTTCATATACTTCATGTGCTAACTAAGGACAGGTACAGTAATACCACACCTGTCTCCACTCACTGACACACACCAAAAACAGTGAGGATTGCTACATATTAGTTTATTTTATCCAGCTCCTTCAATCAGAAATTACAGGTGTACATCTATTTATTCATACATCTCCAGTTGAATCTTAAAACATTTTTCATTAAATGTGATAAAAATGTACATCATATATAGCATCGATATGAAAATACTGACAATCTTCATTACAAATCTATACCATAGGATTTATCTGGCAAGCAAAAATCATTGCTCAATCACTTAAAAAGGAAAAAAAAAAAAAGAAAATCGGACTCAAAACATGTAGCCTGTTCTGAGGTTGTGCTAATACAACTGTTTTTCTCCCACGAAACGATGATATTCACAGTATGGAAAAAAATAATTATAGTGTCACGTCTTGTACAGATTTTCCTGTCACCTACTGATGGGCAATAACATCTACTGTACCATGAGATTTATGACCAAAACAACAATCATGAATACACAAAAACATATCAGTTATAAAAATAAAGTCATAAAATGTGTACAAAGAAAGACAGACATATGATTAGAGAATAAATAAAAATGTCGCCGTGGTTACAATCCCAGTGTCCTGTAGTAAAGTTAAGAGATAAAGAAAATAAATTAACATTGATTTCTAAAAAATCTTCCATTCAGAGTACCACTCGTCATTGTGTTTAATGTTGGGAAATGAAAGAAGACAGAAGCCCACCATCACCTGCTGTAATATAAAAGGCCAAAAATAAACAGTACGTTGTACATGTTAGTTTGAAATACAATAGACACAAGATGTGTGTTGGTTTCCAGTCATGGATATTCACTGCCTGATCATGCTGCTCATCAGATACTCAACAACAAACAGAACTAAAACATGATAAATATTAGTGTGATGCCGATCTGTATGAATGTACAAGTGCACATTGGCTCAGATGAAACCAATAAACATTATTGAAAGAGTCTGTGTGAGTCTCTGTGTGTGTGTGTGTGTGTGTGTCCATGATGTTTTAGTGAGCAAGAAAAAAAAAACCAAGCTTAGGTCAATGTTATCACTTTTAACAGGAAAGCAAATGCTAAAAATCAATAAGAGAAATAATAGACCATCTGCTCTCACTTCAGAGAGGCAGTTAACAGCAGTATGTAACGGTAATGGATATTTTACTTCCAATAAGTGCTATCTATGGGTCCACTTCAAGAACAGGAACTAAAACTGAGCCAGGATTACTTCCTTCTGTGGAACACGCATTTCCGAGTGATTTCATCAGCAAATCAATTGGAGTTAAGTGCCAAAAAAAATTAAATCCCACAAATACAATTTAAAGCTGCACAATGAGAATTTGTTGGTGAGTTCAGATTAACTTGGTAGGTAGGTAGCGTTTAAAATTGTTTCCAACTGCAGCTGTGAAGGAAAAATAAACAACAATGAATTATGAAGATTTTTTAAACTTTAGTTGAATCTTTCAGAGGAAGTTCATTACGGTCTTGTTAGGAACTTTTCATGTAAGCAACAGCTCCAATTGAAATGCTAAATGCAGCTCAGCACCAAGACATGCTGTACATAAGGGCAGACCTGCCTCACCTTTAACAAATACAGAGAGTGAATCAGTTGCACCCAGTGCACCTGCATGTGGGTTTGTTTCGATATGACTCAACCTGACTGGGGTTTATTTTGAGATACAGGCAGTTTCTCTGTTGTCACTGTATGTGCCCCTCATTTCAACTCATCCCAGTGGTTGTATTTGCTAATAGTGTTACAGTCCAGCTATTGATGTGCCATTTAGGCCCAAAGTCAATAGTTAGAACATATTCTGAATTCAGTTACATTTTCTAATAGTGTTTCATTAACTGAAAAAAAAAAAGGAAATGGTGCAGAAATACTGGAGAGAACACTTTTCATATGTGAATGTCTCAGGACACATCCAAGTGAACTCACGGCCTGGCCGAGAAAACAAAAGAGATGAGTGTACTGTACAGCACTGTGATTAGATATATTGAGTTGTGGTCCAGGAAGAACGAAGAGGGAGGGAGGGAACAAACAAACAACAAAAATTAAATCACATTCACATTTTCTCATTTGTACACATGCAGCAGGGGAAATAGCCCTTGTCATGGAAAGGAGAGGGAGTGCAATATGAAGGATATTAATTTGAAAAGATGTCCCATTCCCAGGTAGGAGCAATATTATGGAAGTGACTTGCAACTTGGTCAGACATGGTCGTGGAGTCACCTGTGAGATACAAGAATTGTATATAAAAGAAACTAAAATAATATCAGGCCTAATGGTAAAGGGATTTTCAAAATAGAAGTTGCTCCCAAGAATTATTAAAAATCATCAACCTTTCAGTCAGTCATTAACACAGCAGGTAAAGAGAGGAAACACAGCTAAAAAACAGTGGTTAAAAGCATCTGAGCCAACACAAAGAGCCCAGACTTGTTTTTAAAGTGGTTTGTCCTCGAATAAAAACTACAGTTTTATTGCAGATCTCAGCATCTGGTCGAACGCTGTGGTACTGAATTCTGAGGGAAGTACCGCAACTGTTACCAATCGCATGCTGTGGTCACCTGGGGGGGGGGGGGGGGGGGGGGGGGGGGGGGGGGGGGGGGGGGGGGGGGGGGGGGGGGGGGGGGGGGGAGTGTGGAAGGCAGGTGGTCGTACTGTGGTGCAGGGGTGAGGGTTTGTGGGGTGACAAGGCAAAAAAAAAACAAAAAAACAGCACAGATTGTCAACACTTGCTTGAGCTAAAACTCTGCTTCACTGTGTGTTTCTAATGGGGTGTGACTTGTTCACAGGACGTCTACCTTCATCTATTAATGGGACTGATGAGAAGGAATGGGGGAGGATAGAGCGTCTCATTTCTGCCCTCTAGTGGAAATTTAGTGCCTGCAGAACTCAGGGGGGGGAGGGGTCACCACTATGGCACACATGCATGGTAATTGGCATGAAGAGGAGCAAGGTATGGGGTGCAGTGTTTGATGTAGAAATGTTAGCATGTACAAACATTTAGGTGTCAGCGTCATGTTAAGATTTAATATGTACACACGTCATTGTGCTTCTCAGGTGCCGTCACTGTCCCTGTGTTGGATTAGCCGGTCCATGACTCCCCGAGTGTGTGTGTGGAAGTATTTGAGTGTCTGTTTCTGTCTGGTTTCCAGTGTTTAATGCGTGAATGCCCAGTCTATAGAGTTATAACAGTGCCATCTTCCTCCAGACTCCGCCTCTCCATTGCTCTGTCTGGCGATGGCGTGGACGAAGTGGCATTGGCGTAGCTTAGTGATCCACTGCTGCCGCTGGCTGGGAGCGTCCCATTGGCGTTGATGGAATGGGCGGAGGCGGAGGTGGTGGTAGTGCGGAGGTTGAGGTGCGGCTCGTACCGAGGCAGCGAGGGCATGCTGTAGTTGGAAGGGGTGCGTCTGATCGGCTCGGCCTCGCCTCCTGCCTCGATCACCAGGTCCTCATCTTCCTCGTCGCTCTCCAGTTCCCCGACGGGGAAGTTCTGGATGATGTGCGATGGCATGGAGGCCGCGGCACCGACCCCACCTTGTGATGAGTAGCCATAGAAGCTGGCACCGCTGTCTGACGAGCGTCCCGAGCTGCCAGACGCCGCACCGCCTCCTCCACTGCGAACAACATTGTTCCGCTGGTTGGCAGGCTTGACGGTGATGATGAGGTTGTGGCTGTTGGCGATCATCATGTCCGTCACCTGGTCCAGAGACTTCCCAGCCACCTCGATGCCATTCACCTCCAGCACCTCGTCGTTGACTGCTAGCAGGCCGGTGCTCTCCGCCAGCCCGCCAGGCACCATGCGAGAGATGAATATCCCCGGGACCTTCTCCAGGCCCTGCGGAGTGACCCGCACGCTGGAGCCATCGCGGATGTAGAAGCCCAGTGGTTTTTCCTGGCCGTGCTTGTACAGGCGAACACGTCGGTGCGTCTCAGGGAGGATGTCCACATCGATGATGGAGGAGACGGGGCGAAAGTCCTTAGGGAGGCTGATAATGACCGGAGGTTTTTTCCTGTTGGTGTCAGGCCGCAGAAGAACCGCAGAAAGCACTGTGTTTTTCTTCCTGGTCAGCGAGTCGGTGCCAAACGTTGTGTAATCAGCTTCCTCTGCAAAATAAAAAAGATGGAGGAAGCAGAGAAAGAGAAGAAGAAGACAAAAAGGGGAAACGGTGGCAGAAAGAAGAGGAAGAGAGAAACAAAGAGGATGTTGACAAAAGCTGGTTAATTTTCCATTAATATCATTGTGAGCTCATTACACATCAAGTGGTTATTCAGGCTGACAGTCTGTTGCATCATGTAGTTTCAGAAGAATGAATAATGCTTTGTAATAGAGCAGCTCTGAGCCTCAGGTATCGCTGCAGGTGGTCTGTGCTGAACACAGACAAGAAAACCGATCCCCAGAACTCCCCTCAGGTCAAACTGATGCAAAATGCCATAGCAGCCAAACGGGCGCCCAGTCCCACTCACAGTCCTTCATCAGCACTCTTTGACATGCTGCCACCCACAAATCAGCCTACATATGGTGCACAGGGATGCTGTATTATAGATTTAATGAGCATATGGTTGGTGTCATAGATTGTCTATGTGAGTCGTCTACCCTCATTCTTGGATACACATGACATTACTGCTAAATAAAAGGACAAAAAGTCACGAGCAACAACTTTTAAAAGGACTAGTTAGATGATGATAATAATTGTCCATTAAAAAGGTCCCATATCTTATCCTAGTTTACTTTAAACTGAACCGTCTCCTGGCTGTAACTTCATGTTTAACACAGATATGGGAGTGGAATCAATCCTCGCGTCTAACTCTCAGCAAAAAAAAGCGAGATGAGACTATTTTCCCCAAATGCTGAACTACTCCTTTAAAGATTTTTTGGCATCACCACTCGCAGATGAGAGACAGAGTAGTTCTGACAGGCCAGAAAGGTCACATTTGAACCGAGAATATTATGGTCGCATTTTAGCTGCATGAGTCACTGGGATACCACAGAACTGTGTCCTTTGTTATGTACATTTTGAGGTGGAAGTGTGTACACTGTCAAGCTACTATAGACTTCAACCCCCGGTGGTTCACATTAACGCTAGCCAAGGGCTGGCCAGGTGAGGGAGGGAAAACCTGGACCTTGGTTCTGTAATAGTTAACCAGCATAATATAAGTTGCTAAACATTAACTTGACTTTCAATTTCTTTTTTTGCTATTTTTTTTTTGTCACGTTCTGGTTTTATTTTTAACATCTTTCATCTGAAAATGGCCTAAACTTTTCACTTCTTGCTGTTTTTAGCAGCACTTTGAAATCTCTGTTTTTAGATGAAAGTGCTCTATAAATAAAGCTCTGGCAATCTTACACTGAATACTTCTCCCCTTCCTGTTTGACTCTCCCTCTGAGTGTGTGTGAGTAATCTGGGAAAACATCCACTCAGGTGGCTGATAAAGATTCCAGCTCTCAGGTTCTGACAGGTAAGCACCTCACCACTCCCCTCTCCATCCCTAAAACCAAAACAAAGGATCAATTGTCCCAAGAAAGAGCAGCAGTCTCGCATTTCAGTTCCCATGAGGCACGAGTCTAGTGTATAACATTTGCTATATCTTTGCCAGCCCTGACCTTACGGGCCAACCACACATAGCAACAATATCGTCACAAGAGTGTGTGAGGTCGAAATGCTTAACCAGTTTGTCTTGCCACATTCATAAACAGGGCCATAAAAAGGAGCAGAGAGGACACACACACACACACACACACACACACACGCCTCCCTCCATCACTGACACAAGGGTTGCTCTTGCAGTGCAATCATGCATAGGAGGAGGCAACCCTCCACATCTCATTTCACTCTTTCTAGCCTTTTTTTTCTTTCTATCTAAACCATCCCTCCATCTCCAGCATGTGAATAGTCAGACCTGACAATAGAGTTATAGTTCAGGAAAAAAAAAAAAAGAACGTGACGGACCCTCGGGGCCACTCACAAAAATACACACACACATACACACACACAGCGAAGAGATGCTGTTCTGGTGTCAAATGATATAAGCATGTATCTTGATTACAGCATGTGTAACTCTACACACAACATATGCAAACATATGCAAGCGCAGGAGTTCAGTTAAACACACACACAAACAGAGAGTACATGGGTGTCTATACGGTTTATCTGTGGTTAGTGATGATGCCCGAGCTCTAATGAAGAGCAGCGCAGAGAAACCCAATACCCCGAAAAACCATAGCTGCATTATAGCTCATTAGAGCACACAAGCAAAGCTCTCAGTCTAATTGGCTACAAAGGCCTACAGGCAACTCTCAACATAAACACACACACACACACACACACACACACACACACACTGTTCCTTGTTTGAAAGTACAAATGACCTTCTTTTGTTTCCATTTGTTTAATTTAAACACAAGACTCGAGAATAATACCACCCCACTGTCCCAGTGATACTGACATATAAAATATTCACAACACTCCTCTGTGCTTTAGCTAAAACAGGTAACTAAAAGGCCTGTAAATGGCTGTTACTTTACATAGAAACACCACAAACAACCCTTTTAATGACAAAAATCCCCAAAACAACCAACACTATGTTTATGATACATGTATCTGCCCATTCACATCCATCCTCTCAATCCCTTCATCCTGTCAAGTGGTTGCAAACATTTCATTTTAAGTCATTCTAAAATCTGCCCAGGTTTTTAATCAGACTGCCTATTATCAATTTATTCTGGTCAGTTAGAGCCACTTATAACTCACTGTGTGATAGAGGTACCTGACAGATGTGCATGTACACCAAAGGTTCGACCTCTGTTGCATTATGGGAATATCACTATCAGTGGTCTATCCATTAAACCAACAGTGCAATAATAACAACCGGCTAGAGCAGAATGGAGACCGTTTGTGGTCCATTATAGTGAATGGCCAACAACCTGCTACCAGGCTTTGAAACAATGGGGTTGGTTGTTAATGTCTATCTATTAGGTCAGGAAAGACAACACTTCTAACCAGACAATCTGACCTCAGCATGGAAACAGGACCGAGACATCTCAACAAGAGCCACTGAAGAAGCTACGTGGCTAAAACGACAAGATGACTGAGTCTTATGATTATTATAAGTCTAAATTGTCCATCACTTTATTTAAGCTATTCCGTTTTTTTGTTTTGTCTCTGCTGTTGTGTGGGTTTGAACATGTAGTACATATACAACACCACTTTTACTCCCCTCAGTGCTCAGTAAACACATGAAGCATGACTAAGGTATGCAGCAGCCACAGAGTGTACAGGTATGCAGCTGGCTCGGCTAATGATTAATGAAAACAGTCACAGGTCAACTATGACAGAAGGAAATAGAAAAGTTGTAAAATGCCCAGATTTTAAGAGGATATTTATCACAAGGCTGCTTTCTCAAGAATAGAGAACTTGTGTCAGTGTACTCCGCCAAAGTCCCACCTCTTCTAAGTAAAATGAATGCAATTCTTCCACTAAAATGACCTGACTGATTACTCACACATGTCCAGTTAAAGGGGTACCCCACCAACACACAGGTCAAGTGACCGTTTGCTAAGCCTCACCCTCGTTACTGTTGCTAACACCTGTCCAGCTTTCTGTCCTTGGATGCCACGTATGTAGATTATAATCACTTTAGCAGATTTACTACTGAAAATTTCTTTGTTATGTAAAGGCGTCTCGCTTCTGGTGAAGAACTGTCAATTTCCTGGCTAGTAGCTAGGGTTGCCACCACAGCTGTAAAAAAAAAAAATGTCTTAAATTTAAACTTAATGGCAAAAAAAAGTAAAAGTTATAAAAAAAAAGTATAAAATAAAACTTAATGGCTGAAAGACTGAGGCTAAAGCCACATGTCCCCGGCACAAAGTTAGCATTAAGTTACTACTGAAGGTAGTAAGATAGTTAGCCAGACATGCTAATGTTTGTAGCTTACATGAGAGCACTCATTATGTTTAGTGAGAGAAGTCCTCCAACCAAACGATTATACAGGTCATTAATTTTTCATGTCATTTTTTTTTTATGAGGACAGCTTTACACTCTATTTTTGGATTTGGAGAGGGATAAAAAAAGAAGAAGAAAAAAAAGCATCCTCCCAAAGCCCTTTATATACAGACTAACAAACACTCTTACTACAGTAGGGGTTTAGCAAACTGTCAATTAACTAGACGTGGATAGTTTGACACAGCCTGTGAAAAACAGCTGTTTAATGTATCCTGTGACTGTGGAGGAGTTTTATCGAGAATGAAGAAAAAACTAACCCCTAATTATGTTATAATGATATCATTAGGGTAATGTCAGCTTGGGGTTGTGATTTTTCCATAAACTGATGTTACAAACGTGCATTTGAAGGAAGTCAGTGTTTACCAGGAAGGTAGGGTTGAACGAGAAGATGCTATTGGTTGCGTTATGGAAAATGTAGGATCCAGTGTTTACCTGCAAACTAGCTCTGTCGGTTGCCTTTGCTAAAGCTGCTCTTCTCTTCAAAAACCAAGATGCACCTGCAGTGCATCAGAATCAGAGCTCATACTTCAGGCATTATTCACAAACCCTGAATAGAAAACATAATCTTCAACCATGCACTTGCCATGGCTCTGCACAGGTTAGGTATTCCAGCTATGCAATGGCTGCTTTGATTTCCCACACTGTGAATGGAGTCAGTGAGGAGCAAAGGAAGCGAAGCAGCGGAGGAGAAAATGACAACCCAGCAACACATCGTCACAAGTGAGGACACACAGGGAGTTGCTCAGTTTCTTCTCTGTACTATGTAGCTAACACACACACATTACACGTAAGCACACACGGGGCAAACAACTAATGCATCTCCATCGTGACATTGAAGAGACTAAGACAACTGTGCCTAAGGAAACCACTTGTGTGAGCTGGCGTGGATTGGTTGAACACATCATCTCCCTCAGTGCTCTATTCTCCACACACTCTGGATGCATCACGCTCCAACTCTGGACTCTGTCTTTAAAAGAGCCAATGTTAATGGCTCAGAATAAGTGGAATGTGCAGGCATTCATAACTCGCCACAGCCACTGACACCATTATATCTTCTCCGGGACACTAACCATTTATCTTGACCAGAAACATATTTTTGTATGG